AAACAATAGAGAGAATAGTGCATTATCCAACATTCAATCTTGCAAACTCTGGAGCTCAAAATCAATCTTCATTTGTACCAAAACTAACATCTTTAGAGAGAAATATTGAAACCATTGTGTATTAGCCTAGCTTAGAGGCGATCATTCACAAAACACTTTATCTCATATCTTTGGGTGAAATCATGTAAAGCTATTGTAGAGACAAAATCCTGAGAAAACTATTGTATTGGTAAAATCTGATTCTAGTGGAACTTCAAGGAGGTTGCCTTGAAGAAGTGGATGTAGGAGGCTTGTGATCAAAGCTCCGAACTACTATAAGTTCTATGAGCATTTCTCTTCTCTCTCTCATTTATTATTTGTCATTAACTTGCTTATTTATTGCTTATCATTGAAGTTATTTATTTTTCTTATTGTTGGGTAATTGGAGGTTTTTAATATTCAGCATTAAATTTTTATTCTGATGTTCACCCCTCCTCTAGGAGCATTTGCCATATTAGAGTTTTACACCAGTTGAAACCCAACCGCAGTCTATGTTAGCCTCCCATCGCTTTTCTAACCCTGCAATCTCGCAAGAACTCTCTTATTTCTTGCATGGGATAGTGTTACAATAAAAGATAACTCTGGAGACACTAATCCAAGGGCAAAATGTGGTCCGAAAGGGCAAGACAATTAATTCAAGTTTTGAGCAAATTTTGGCATCAACATATGTAAATAGCTTCTTATGATATATGCCATGAATTGAAAGAAAGACAGAAATGTGCCAACATGATTCACGCAGTTTTTATTTATGAATTTTCATAGCACTTAGTGAGCTTTTTTGCATATTTAAGTGGGAGAATGACAATTACACCCCTTGAAACTCGAAAAACTGACACTTTGCATCTCATAACTTCAGAAACTACCAAGAACACCCTATACCGTTAGTTTTTTCTGTTAAAATGGATATGGCTAATGACAGGATTGGCAATTCAAGTTAAACTTACCTTTTGAATAAATTGATAAATAAAAGGTTCGAACCCGAAACCTTTAAGTATAAAATTAAATCAATACACCACTTTGCCAAAAACATTTTATGCAAATGTTTACTAACATACTACTATAATACTTACAAAAAAAAAAAAGAAAAAAAGAATAAAGGTATAAAATTTAATATATTGACAACTTCTTTGAAATTATTTTATATTTAATATTAATTTTAACATTTTTAAACTAATAATAGATATATTAAAATTTATATTTAATAATATTGAAAAATATAAATTTAATACATTTAAAGTTCCTATAAAATATAGTATATTCAAAATTTGAATCCTAAGTTCGCGGTTTGTGATCACTTTCTTTTTTTAATTTTACTCCCTCCGTTTTCTTTTAATTGACGTTTTCGGTGTAGGCACATATTTTAATAAAAACAAAAATTTCTCTCTCCCACCACTTTTTTCCCTGATTTTGCAGTGGGAAAGACTTTAAAAGTGGGAACTTTCCTGTTTATTTAAATGCAGTAACATTTTTAACAATTTTGTCTTATTTATTTGTTTTAACAATTTTAAAAGATGCAGACAAGACAAAGGCAAAACGACTTTAATTTTAAAAATTTTAAAAAGTCTTAAAATAACAATTAAAAGGAAACGGAGGGAGTATATTTTTTTTTCTGATTTTATCTTATGTTAAGTTTTTCTCCCACCTCTTCTATATATATACATATATATTTATTTGTTTTCTCCCACCTTTACAAGAAAAAAAAGGTTTTTTTTTTTCCGAATTTAGTTTAACATAACGAAACAATATTATATTAATTCATGTTAAAATAGATTTACAATTAATGATAAAATATATTTAAAATTAATAATATAATAGATTTAAAATTAACAATAAAATATATTTAAAATTAATAATAAATTATATTATTAATAAATCGTAGGTAAATTTTTAATTGCATTCGTCAAACTTTGTCTCTCATCAATTTGAACCAAAAAATAAAAAAACAAACAATAGAGGGTGTCCTTGGTAGTTTTTGTAGTTGTGTAATGCAAAGTGTCAGATTTTGGTGCTGCAAGGGGTGTAATTGTCATTCTCCCCATTTAAATTCACATTAAGAAATGGTGGGTTAATATAATATGTGAGGGTATTTTTAGTATTACTTGAGAGAGGATATTAATTATGCTGGGGATTTTCACTGTTAACATGGATAACATTTCTTTGAAAGGGAGAACGACTTACACGTACCCAAGGTTTGTCGTAACAACAAGTTGGTACCCAAAAGGTTTTGAAACGACAAATAGATACCTTCCGTCATGTTCTGTTAGTGGTTTCTGTTTATTACTGTTTATTAATAGTGAAAAGACTAAAATGCCCTTAAAAGTTTGAATTTTAGTTTTTTATAAATTTAAAAATTTCTAAAAAACCCCCTAAGTTTACAAATTTAACTAAATACCCCAATGTATAAAAATTTTATAAAATAACAAGAACACCCCCGCCACCTGCAGTGCCAGATTCCGGCCACCACCGCCGGAATCTGGCCGGCAAGTTGCGTTACGACACAGACCCGTCGGATCTGTGTCGTAACGCATCGATCTGGCCTTTTCCGGCCAGATCCGTGGCTGATCTGGCCGGAAAAGGCCAGATCTCCATCTGCGGCGTCGACGGCCAGATCTGGCAGTAGATCTGGCCCTTTTCGGCGGATATGGCCGAAAAAGGCCAGATCTGGCTGTTGCTTCGACGGCCAGATCTTGCCTTTTCCGGCCAGATCCGTGGCGGATCTGACCGGAAAAGGCCAGATCGGCACGTTACGACACAGACCCGACGGGTCTGTGTCGTAATGTAGTTTTCCGGCCAGATTCCGACGATGGTGGCCGGAATCTGGCACTAGGGGTGTTTTTGTTATTTAACAAACTTTTTATATATGGGGGTGTTTAATTAAATTAGCAAACTTAGGGGGTTTTTTAGAAATTTTTAAATTTATAAAAAACTAAAATTGAAACTTTGAAGGGCATTTTAGTCTTTTCACTATTAATAAACAGAAATCAGTAACAGAACATGACGGAAGGTACCTATTTGTCGTTTCAAAACCTTTTGGGTANAAAAAAAAAAAAAAAAAAGGAAGAAGGCATTTTTAATGGGTTGACTTTGGGTAACATGATTATTTTAATGAGTACGGGTCCAACTACAGGTAATTACTCGTTTTACCAAGTCTAATTTTTTTCTTTTGGATAGAGAGGTAAGGACAAAATAGAAGTTTTGATACTGTGTTTAGGATAAGATAATGTTTATGTTTAGGCCCAATAAACTAATGGGTCAAGTTTGGTTTAAGAAAATTTGATAGACAAATGCGAGACGGCGCAAAACCTTTCTTACAAGACCCATTGCCAGTGGTAGACAATTATATTTCATGAAGGGAAAATAGAAAAAATGTGTATTGATTAGGTTGCTTGTAACGTGCAAGTTAAACCCTATTTATTTATAGCAAGTGCTAGATTTCATAATAAATATAAAGGAAAGAGATTTTTTCACTTGAAAATTTAACTGAAATTGAGACACAAATTTTCAACCGTAGATATTTTGTAATCTAAAAGATCTAAGAAAGAGTTTAGAGATAGTTATTTTGTTTACCACCTTAGAAATTCATGTATCATTGGATTATATTAAATCCACAACTGAAAATTTGTATAAAAAATTTTAATTAGAATTTTAAGTTGAAAAATCTCACCCCAAAAATAAAATCCTAAAAAGATAACAAAAGAATATTAAGGATAAATTCTAATCTAATAATTACCCTAAATCATAACAATGATAATAATAATTTAAACATGTAAATAAGAAATCCTAATGTAAAATAATTTAAAACTAAGGTCTCTTTTGGATTGAGAGATTTTAAAATCTATGGATTTTTTGTACAATCCATGCATTTGATAAATTCCATTGTTTAGTTTAAATATAAAATCTATGGATTATTGATTCAAATTTTCATGCACTTATGTTTGGTTAAATAAATACAATCTATGAGTTTGATAAATAATTTCCAACTTTACCCTCAATATCCAAACCCAACAAAAATTCAACTTTCATCTAATAAATGCAAATTATATTATATTTGATAGAGAAGTCTAATTATAATAAATAATTTTTTGTGATTTGGTAAGAAAACAAAAAGAATTCTAAATTAATATAATATATTATTAATTATCTTCATTCATGATAACTTCAATAATTAAATAATTTCATATTAAAATATATAACATAACAATCTCGTTTTTTGTGTTTGTTTATTATTATTATTATTATTATTTTTATAGAGATACTTAACTATATAATATATAAATCTCATACGTGTATAGCACAAGAAAGCTGATAGGGGAAATTGTAAGATAAATCAGAGTTTGTTCCCAATTTAGATACTATATTGTTGGACCCATTGCTTTACAAAAGGACCTATATATATATAACAAGCTTAAGAGCTATTTGCAATAGCGTTGTTGATTTAATATTTCATGAAAAACAAAAAGCTACCAATAATGTGTTCTTAACTAGATAACAAAAAGAATTATTATGAAAAATTAAAATAATAAAAAAGCTTTTTACAAATAAGAAATTGAAAATAATTAATTAAAAGAATGAAACTCACAGGAAAATTATTTCTTTAATTTTCTTTAATATGCGTTGAAGATACTGATGATATAAATGTGAAAGGCTTAAAAAGAGAGAGCGAAAAATATATTTCTTTTAATTAAGGTAAAGGATAATTACTAAGATATTAAATTCTTTACAATGATAATATCAAAAAATTCAAATATTAACAAAATTCCTCATTTTATTAAAATTGATGGATTCGGCAAACTCTCACCTATCAAGTGAGATTTTAAAACCCTAAAAAATGAAGGATTCTAAAGGGTGATGAATTTTCCAAAATCCATTGATTTAACAAAAACATTCATTTAGAATCTCTTAATCTAAATGAGGCTTAAGATAATAACTAATCTAAATTCCCTGCATCACAAGGTCAAACAGAAAAATGAAAGAGATTTTGTCATGAAGGCAGTGGCCCTCTTGTGCGGTGCTACAAGTTATAACATCATTGTAAAAAATTATAATAAACCTTTTCTACTAGACAATTTACACAACAACAACTAGCTTTATAATTATGAACTTGGCTTGCTCACATTAACCCAATTGTTTTTTAGCAAGAATAATAAAGTCTAAAAGAAAATCATTTAAATGAATCATCTTGGCTGTAAGCATCACTCTTCTTCTTCGAAATCTAAAAGAAAATCAGTCAAGTTCTCCGAATCGTCTATAGCCTCATCAAGAGACATGGGATCGTCCTTCTTGGGCTTAGCCTGTAGGTTTAAGGATAACACAATTTGATTACATATATTGCCTTGAAATAAATAAAAAAATGAATTGACATATTTAACAAGAAGCGCAGAAGAATGAATGTATGCATTTATATTTAAGCTTTCTTGCTCTCATTATGTTCCTTTACCCATTAAAATAAATGAGATGTAGACTTACGTATGAAACTATGTTTAATTAAATCAATCAACAATAAACAACATAGCTCGTGGTACAAATAAAAATGTAACAAGATCAAGAAACAGAATTACCTTTGACTTTCGAAGCTGTGGAGTACTCTTCAGAACGCTCCAATTTCGCGAAATTTTCTCCTGTTCTTCATCGCCTTCAGCCTCACTATCTTCTCCTTCCTCCTATTGCAGATGAGAGCAAAAATAAAATGCAATTACTCACAAGAGAACCACAATTAGAGTAGGAAATTTATAATATGACAATTATTGGATCCTGTCACTAGAACAGAGATAGAAATAGATAGACTAGTTGAAATGGAGAAAATTTAGAAATAGAGAGACTAAAGATAGATAAGAGAGAACAACATGGAGAGGGAAAAACTCCATACAAATTAGAAACATTAAAAAAAAAGGGGAAGAGCTAAGAAAGAAATACATAATGCATAGGGAGAAAACCAATCCTCATATTTAACAAACAATGCAAGCCTATCAAAAATAATAATTGTAACCTTTATTCAAAGGCTTATGAAATAAAATCCAAATCCTAATCAAATAGGAAATAAATTGTAAAACAACTTGAGGCAAAAAAGACTTTAAGAACTTTGATAAAGCAATTCGTAAGATAAATAAACCTATTATAGTCTTTTTACATCAACTCCAGATAAAATTAAAATAATAGGTGGTGAAAATAAAAATTAGAAAAGTCAATGGCACTCACCTCCTTTTCACCAATGTCAACAGCTCGTGCTATCGCGTCATCCATATCAGTCATCTGTGTCCACAGCAAGCATCAAGAAACCAACAATAATTAGTTGTTCTAGGTAAAGTTGATCATTGCTAAAACGAATTCAACATTAAGTAATGAATTTTTTAACATTTCAAAGTGTTTAAAACCGACAACATTACATATAATATAGAGAGAACATGAAGAAAATTTCTTTTTAACATAAAAGACATGTGCTAGTACACATGATATGCTAGCCAGTACAAAAGGTTTTGTTACCTCAAGTTCTTCAGTCTTCTCTTTTGAAAGAAGCATATTAAGCTGTTCTCGTGATATGATTTTTCCATGCTGCCCAAATTAAGCAAAAGTCAACACTTGAAGACTAACACAAAACTAAGTTGCCATTACAAATACTTAACTGTTCTCCATGTATTGCTGTACTTCAAACCATTAATGAGTCAAACGAAAGAAAGGAATGAAAATTTTTAGCATTTATAACAAGATCATCAAACAATTATATTTATCATATCTTTTGTACTCTCACAACTAAAGAGGAACTTCATGTAAAATGGAGCATGTCGAAATCAAAGAAACTACTAATAATTGAAGTAAAATACCCAAAAAGCTTGTCAAGCTTAATCCTTGAAGATCTAACTGATAAGATCTAAGAATTAGCTGGTGCCAACCATCCTTGTGGCATCATTGGGATCAGCAAAACAGTTTTCATCGTCTCATAAATGTTACAAATTATATTACCACGACGACTGAACAAACGCAATATACAATTGACTTTTGCCAAGAAACTAAAATCCAGCTTCATAAATGGAGTGATAGGAGCCATATTATAATAGATGATCTCCAAAATACCAGCCTATTAACCTGTTTGCAGCAACTCAAGGAGAACATAATAGCCAAAAACAAGGGTTAAAGAATAAAAAATTAACCTCCTTCAGATAAGCAAGCATATCTGGTGTTGGTTCATGAAAATCTGGACCCCTGTAATCAATCACTTCATCTGGATCTTGAATGTAGTTCACAGTTGGATACACAGGATCTCCACCCCATACTGCAAAGATAATCATCGGAGCACTACGTTATGGTCAACCGTAATGAATTTATTCAAAATTTCTGGTCAGAATAAAAATGATAATGGCAAACCTTTAAAGTTGGTCCAATTTTGAATAAGAAGAAAGAAAGAGAGAATGAGAATATCTACCAGATCAAGATCATGAGAAATGGTAAATGGTAAATGAAGTGACATACTACACAAGGATGGATGTTATCACACAAAATCAATACATATTATAGAATGGAAAAGCAAAAGGCAACATTGGTTTGTTTCAAAGATTTTTCTGATCAAAAACAGTTCTGTATTCTTGATTAGAGAAGTAGTTAACTTACTGTTTTCATGACTGTTATCGAACAGATCATACATAAAATGTTTTCCACATGATTTCGTGTGTATCCCAGTTTGCAATAAAGGGTTGTTTTAACGTGTGCCCTAAGGGGCACATGTTAAGGACACTAGAAGACAAAAAAAATATTTATTTCGATGCATATTATTTATAAAAAGTAAAAAAATAAAATAAAATAATAGTTAAAAACATTTTAAAGATTCCTGTTTTCCAAAAGCATACCAGTCCTGGAACAGCATAGAAATGCTCTGCTTTTCATTCTTGGAAATATGTTTCTGGTGAAATGTATTCCAGGAATCTGACATTAATCATATCCTACAGCTATAACTACAGCCAATGCTGAGAAAATGTAATACGAAAATCTGACAAAGAGAATGGAGGAGGTAAAATCATTTTCTTTTTTTCAGGAAAAGTCAAAATATATTTGGGTTAAATAAATGAATGCCATTTAACTAACTTGTATAATATCATACTTGTGAGAACCAAAATATGAGCTTTATTAGATCAGAAAGGAAGACTGAGGTTATAAGAGAACATGATAATAACAACGACAAAAAAAAAAGACAGCAGACATAATGCACTAAGAAGTCCATGGAGTAAATACTTTGCTTTATTTGGTCCTCTCTCATTCGCATTGCTAGGGGATCCCTCTTGATACGAACATCAGTCCCCATCATTATGCGAAATTCTCGATCTGTTTGATGACTAAACATTTCAATTAGTTGCATGTTTTCATCTTCACCAGTCTCCTCATAATGTTGCTGAATAGTTTCGTGTGAAGTGTCCCTCTTCCATGCTTTTACCCATTCCGAGTAGTATGCAATTGGTCCTATTTTCTCTAGTCTCTCTTGTTCAGCTTGCAGTCTACAAAATGAACAGAAACTTCACTACATAAACTTGCTTGCACTATTATAAAAATGATGCACAAGAAGATGAAAAGACCAATGCGTAAATATATGCTTGTATGTATTTTCCGGACTTTTCAGGGTTTATGAGAAGATATAAATTCTTCAGTTGTCTAAGAGAACTAAATGACAACCTGTCCCCTTTTAATATTCCAAACTGTGCCAGACCAGTTAATTAGTAACAATTAGTTAGATATTTAACTATTCTCAAAGCACTTGTAATTCAGTTACTGAACATGGTTTTATTAGTTCAGATAATAACTTTTTTTATTAAACAGATCTTTCCTTTTAGGCTTTTAAAACTACCAACTTCCTTTAGTGGTTATCCTAGACAAGTGAACAAATATCAAGTTTCCAGCTAGCTACTTTGGGTCAACAACATTAATCGATCTCTACATTCAACCCCATTTGACCCATTCAATTATTGGAAATCATGTTATTCCTGACTGTCATGATCCATATTCTTTCCTTCTGGTGCCTAGGAACTAAATCTAATCACTTCTTCATACAAATGCGTCAAAAAGATGTTATTGCACACAGAAGAACTAACTTATAACTTAGTCAATTTCTTGACACTTTGTACTTGTTGGTACCACCCAGACTTTCTCAAAAAAGCAATTATTGTCTGTCCTTGATTGTAATGTCATTCATCTATGAAATGTTCACTTTACCTCACTTTTGATCCTAATTTTACCAGTGTAGACTAAACACATCGTTGTATACTGCAACTTCTCTTTTCTTTTGTCCAATGGGAGGAAATCTAATTTCTCTTAGCTTACATTCTATATATTCTGTCTTAAATCTTCTTAACTGAAAACCACTGTGTATATGCATTTAAAAGAGATAAGAGAGACACAAGAGATGTCAATAAATCCTGAAGCCTGGAATCAAGAGACATTCAAATTTTCATTGTATGCATGACTTTACATATGTATAAGAACCTTTCTTCCTTGAAAAGATGTCGTCTAGCTCTGTAAAGAGAAGTTTCTGTTAATGTTGGATGATCACCATAAAGCTTTACTTGCCCAGTCTCAGCCATCGCTTTGAGAAAAACCTACAACAAAAAAATTAAAGATAGTTAAGACCATAGTCAAGAAAGAAGAAATTTATTACCATTTAAGCAAGAACTTAATCATCTATGAATGTGCCAAACATACATTTGAAAAGGATCTCATAGGTTTAGTCCAAAAACTCAATAAATACTGAATAACTTATTACTGTGTGCATCAACTGAATTATCATCCAACATGCAGCAAATTTATTGACGTTCAGAAACCCCAATTATTGCACTTAGACAAGGATCCGGCTAGTTTATAAACAATTGTCATCAGATATTTTTAAAAAACATTTTTGAGATCAGCCATGTTATGATAGAACAATGTTGAATCACAAAAACAAAAAAGCATAAGGCAATCTCATTCTTTACCCCAAATTCCTCAGGAAATTAAGCCCCCAAAATCACAAGCTTCAAAGCCTTCCCTCTCAAAGCACATGCGATCAAACATGTACACAACCAAATCATTTGGTTATTATGACTCACATGAAATCTGACCACACTGTATTATAGGCAGCAAAATACTATAATCAAATTGGATCTATCTCTCTCCAACTCTCATGGGACACCAATCCATCATTGAAACAAAGCACAATTAAACCAAAATAGGAAGAAGCTTATCAGTCAAAGAAGCTTGCATTGTTTTAAAGGAATTTATTACTTCCACCAACCGTTTCAACATCAGGTCGCCGTCTTTGCCATCTGGACCATTGTTCCTTCTCTGGCTTTCTCCAGTTCCACCATAGTTCTTCACTTGTTAGCGGCTCCTCTATTGTGTTCTTCTTTTCAGGATCAATGAAGGGATGAGGACGTCCAAGTTTCTTGTCTAATTCATACCCAGTTTCTTCTTCTTCCACAGGTTCTGTCTGATAAACAACATACTCGGATGAGGTGTCTTTTGGGTCTTCCGTTGTATCTTCAGAAATTTCAGGTTCCACAGGATCCCTTGATTCCACACTCACTTCAGAAGCTCCACGAGAAGCAACAGATGTTTTATACTTCTTCCTCCTACTTCCAGGATGTTTTCCGTAAGAAGGCAATCCTGTTGACTCACCCATCGGCTCAGGAGCACTGGCAGCCCTAACTCGACTAGCAGTGCCTTCTGGCCAGTATTCTTCTCCCGGAATACTTGCACGGGCACCAGAAGCTGGCTCAAGTTGGCCAGATGTTGAGTCCAAGTAACTATAGTAGGGAGGACGCTCAACAGAAACGTATTCAATTGGTTCATCCTTCTTCTCACACTTTATAGGTGAAAGTAATGAAACTCTCCTTGATGGATTTTTCAAACCAACACTAACTTGCAATATTCCAGTGGGAAATGAACCTACCAATGATTTCTGTACCATTTACAGAAAATTATAAAAAGACATAAGTAGCACCTACTAAATGGCTAAAATATAACAAGTGAAGCTATATAAGAGAAGAATAAAGTAATATCATTACGTAAATGACATGTTCGGATATTATAGTATTTAATAAATCCTCTAGGCTCAGAGTTTGCAATAACCAAGTAGTAGCAGGACCCAGTATTGAAGAATTAGCCAAATTTTGAAGAATACAGAAAATAATGTTCTCAAACTCTAGAAAAAAAAAATATAAGAAGAAAGCTAAGTAAATAACTGTTTGACTGCCAAGAAAACCAAGTACTTAGAACCTTGCATATTGTGTTTATCATAGTTTCAATTAGAAATTAGAAGTGCATGCCAGCAACCAAGATTTTTATATTAGACTTAAATGATCACAATTTTATGTTTTTCCTCTCTTTTTAGGGGATTAGGTAGAAGGGTCTGAGAAAAAAAAAAAAAAAAATATGTTTTATTTCTTAGCATCTTCATTATTTTGAATATGATTTAAAATTACAATTTGCCTTACTTTTCTACATTTTCCCAGCTACCACATAAGATATGTATCAATTTTATTCAGCTATAAAAGGAATCGCTTCATATGAAAAGAAAATAATTGGAGTTTCGCAACCCCAAAACTAAAGTAAACCACACAGGTATAAGTGTGATTGTGTTGGAGTGAGGCATTGGGAATATATAAGAGGTCCCATATTCAGCTCAACTTGGAGCATCACTAGATGCGGTATTTGAGCTTTCTCATGTGATCTTTTGATGGCATAAAACAAGAAAAACTCAGAAGATAACTATCAAAAGTGATATTTATTAGCATCAAAGATTAAAAACACTGAAGAAAGAAAAACCTGAAAGCGATTGAAATTTGGCTTGCTAGAAACAAAATCGTCTTGATATACAAAACCTCTCAATCCTCTACCTGTTAGACCCAAAAATAAGGAAAGCTTACTAATAACAAATAATTCAGATTCGGTTATCATCAACACTAAAGAAGTAACAATATCTTATCAAAATAGAAAAAAAAAAAAATAATTAAAAGTTGAATATAAAGTAAGATATAGTTAACAAAAACAGACCTTGATATATCCATGTAGCCGATGAGGATGCCATTTTTACTTAAACTCAGTACATAGCAAGTAAATCTGCAAAAACTTATAAATAAAAGTTAAAACATCAATGGAGAGTTTCACACTTCACAGTGTCCAAATGAGGATAGGCATAGGCTTTTGATAGAGAGAATATGAAAATGAAATGAAATGCTTCAAAACGACGTTGTTGCATCTCCAAACAGGTGATTTAATCACTTACATAATAAAATATCCTTTCGCCCCTTTACAGTTTCAAGAAAAAACAATATTGAGCCTAACCAGATTTTTTATGACCCCTCATACTTTTTAAATGTATTTTATTACCCGTTTTAGTATCAATTTATATTTTATGCATAACGAAAGTAATCTTTAAATTCATCCAAAAAATTGAGTCTTGTGATATTTTTTTTTTAATTAAATTATTTTTAATAAGTATTCAATTTCCTTGACTATTAATCAAAGTGTCAAGAAAAAATCAAGAATGATATTGACTCTGTTTGGCTTATTATTTCTATCCATATTCCCAATCTTATTCCCCAAATATTGTTTGTCACATTATTTTAGAAACATTAGTCTATTTTTTAATTACTTTTAAACCCCTTCAATTTATTAATTTCATCAAATACCCCCCAAAAAAGTTTAAAATTTAACAAAAATACCCCCACCCACCCATACTTGCCAGATTCCGGCAACCACCGCCGGTGGTAGCCAGAATCTATCACAACGGTCTACACCACCATCGTAAATTCATCGATCTGGCCTTTTCTGGCCAGATCCACAGTGGATCTGGCCAGAAAAGGCCAGATATGGCCGTTAGCGCCGGCCAAAGAAATGGCTGTCGTATCTTTGGTCATCGCTGACTGCCAAAGATGGAGTTTTTTGGCCGTAGACGGCCAGATCTGGCAGTAGATCTGGCCTTTTTCGGCTAGATCAGTGGTGGATCTGGTCGGAAAAGACCATATCAACGCCCTACCGGCCAAATCCGACTGGTCTGTGGTGTAACACAATTTTCCGGCCAGATTCCGATGGTGGTGGCTGGAATCTGGCATTGCCGGTGGTAAGGGTGTTTTTGTCATTTTACAATATTTTAATATATTGGGGTGTTTATTAAATTAGCAAACCTAGGGGGTTTTTTTATAAATTTTTAAATTTTACCTCGTAATACTCTCCTATTCAACTACCCAATATTATTCCCAAAATCATATCCAAAATAATAAAGCAAACGGACCCAATAATATTGTCTAAATTTTTTGATATTCTAAAAAGAGTAATACTACACTTATAAAGAAATTTTACAAAGATCTCTATACAAAGTGATGTGGTAAAAAATGAATTTAATGAGTTTGACTTTTTGTTTCACTCTTTCATTTATTTTTTGTCACCTTACTTTGTATGAAAATCTTTGTAAAAATTTTTTGTAAGTATAGTATTATTGTTCTAAAAAAGTGTCAAGGAATCCCAGAACTGTCAAGAGCAAAGAATCAAAAGCGGTTTTACTTGTTAGCAGTTCAAACTTCAACACTTTTATATCCGTCTTCATATGCTCTGTTTGCTATGTTGTCTTTGTCAATGGAAAATGAAAAACAAAAATTAAGATCCCTTGAACTTAAATTTAAAATTTTTTTAACTGTAGAATTATGAAGGAATATATTATGTAAAATTGTTGTCCTAATCTTAGTATGTTTTAATTTGTTATGTTTCTTATTTTATCAAGTTGGTTGAAAGATTTTACAGGGGCTTTAGGCAAGAAAAAGCACAACACACCTAAGCTAAATCATGCATCCGTTTTTATATTCAAACCTAAATCGGACTTAAAAAAGGTTGGAGTCCAACAAAATTCTAGAATATACAGAAAGTCAAAAGTAATAAAGAAAAGTAGATAGAGGACTTTTCTATCTTACTTTTACAAAAGCGATGAGAATAATTTGAGACAGTGAAGGTAATAAAGATTGTGTGTGGACAAAGTTTAACTGAGTCATTCTTCTTGATAATAATTATTTTCAATAAAGTCATCATCTTGATAATTGTCTTCCAAATCTTGTAACTGCTAGCTCAAGATTTGATAGCTTTTGACGAGCCAACTGTCATCATAAGTTTGTCGAGTTGTTGATGTAAGAAAATGTAAGAAAAGTATATATGAATTCTATCAACATTCAATCAAACAATAAGAATAGAATCCAGTCATAATCAACAATATGTCAAAAGATCAACACATAGATTATATAATACATAATTAATAATTAAAGGTTATAGATAAACTTATTTATGTCATGATTTTTTTTTCTTGAATTCCTTATAGAAGAAGTGGCAAGTAAAGCGATAAAAACCTTAGGTCATCCTTTCTAATGACGCATACGGAATGACGACTTACAATGAGTTAAGTTGTTCTGATGGGTTTGGAAAGAAGACCTAGCCAATTTTAATATTGGTTAATTGGGTCATCTCATTAAAGGCCCAATAAAATCTAAAGCGCATTAAATGACCAAGCCATATTAGTCGTCTACCCAGATTATTATAATAAAGTGTATTAGACAATTTTAGAACAATCACAAAAAGCCCATTTGAATATCTTATTTGGACTATACATAAAATAAAATTATAATTGATGTTAGCCCACAATTAGGAAAATTTCTAATATTCTCCCATTTGGGCAACATTAATTATTTTATTTTAAGAAAAGAAAACAATTTTGACTTTCGGCTAAACACAATTTTTAACTTTAAAGTGGCCACTATTTTGAAAAAATAACGTAGTTTAGAGATAACATTTCATCTAACAATCTAGTCAATATGATTATCAATAATGAATCAAGACAATTTTTACTTCTTCAATCAACATAAGATCAACCCATGATTACACTTACTAATAATCAAATCACATTGATCAGTAATCTGGGAGTGTGGCGAGAATAGCACCCAACAAAGTGATCATAAACATGGGCTATTTTCATGTAAGTCCTCTTTATGATTTCTCTATAACCTTTATGCTTTAAAGAAAAGCTAGAAAAATCTCATATCTTCCAACGAAGCTTGTATGTTTCAATCAATAAACCTTAAGATATCCAACCATGAAACATACCTATAAAATTATCATTCTTAAGAGAAATATTATTCTTGAGACACAATGTTATATTTCACCAACCATATACAACTGTCATTCTCAAGAGAAACATTATTCTTAAGACACAATGTTGTATTTCATCATCCATATGCGCATGTGTATATGTATATGTACACAAGTATACAGAAACCAATGATCATGATCCAAATAAAATGGCATAAAGTCAACAAAAAATATGTCAAACTCCCACTAACCCAAAATATCAAAAGACCTAAAATGCCCATGTTATATACATGACATTTAAAATAACAGGTCTTAGTCCTCTAGTTAGAGGATCAGCCAACGTAAAATTAGAATTATTGTACTCTACAACAATCCTCAAATGTTCATATTAAACTTTCACAATCGCTTATAATGGAAGCAAAACCGTATGAATCCAAAGTGACAATAAAACATTTCCATACAAGAAAACAAGCAAACAACTCATATAAACAATGAGGTCATCAACCTTTAGTTCAACATGTCACAATGTAGAATATCTTTCGTGCGCATATGACATTATATAATAAAAATATCATATTGTTTCTTATAATGTCATGTAATCCACAAATATAGATATGATATCCAGTTTATTACAAATCCAAAGGATATCATGTAATCAACTGAAGAAAACTCCCACTAATCAAGTGCATCAAAAACTAAAAACACATGTTATCAACTTGTATATAGTAATTAACAAGTTTAACAACTTGGTTAAGAATCAGCTATAACAACCACTGTAGCATGTATTCAATTATAATCATAATTCTTGACCCCATATATATATATATATATGGGGTCAAGAATTATGATTATAATTGAATACATGCTACAGTGGTTGTTATAGCTGATTCTTATATATACCAAAACTTATTAAAAAAAAAATGAGGCGTTTGGTATGACCAGCTCACCATATCTAATTACCTCTCAAAAGATTAGATTTATCACATGTGAACATAAAATATATGGTGTTTAATAAATATCTAATAAGTTTCTTTAATACCACTCAATGATCTATATCTAGATAAAAGATAATCTATCCAATATAGTCACCCAAAAGTAAATTAATTTTCCTATCACTGACCTTAAAATATATGCGAGCATAAATATGATGTTTAAGGTAAAAAACTAGTGGTATAAAAATCTTTACAAAAAAGACATTAGAATACATAAGAGAAATGCCATTTCTATGAAATATATTATGTGAAGCTCATAGCTAGTAATTTAGCCTTAAAGCATTTTAATATACTTTTTAATCCCTTTAACTTTAAACACTCATCTATAACAAATGAGTACAACTTTATTAAGAGAAAGCAAAAGTTATCACAAACAATTACATTTCATATAATCCATATCATTCATCTTGACCTCTAATAATAATTTTAATGAAAGTTGGGAACCTTGATTAAAAGCTTCCATATGAGATATTTATCTATATCAACTTTATCAAACTTCAATAGCTTTAATAATCTTGATGTCATGATACAAACAATTAACCAATGAAGTTTAGTGTTTTCAAGATAGCTAATGTACTAAACATGAGTTTACAAACAATCACTACAACAAAAAGAACTTTTAGCTACAATTTTGTTAGCGATGATTTCAAAATTCGTCGCCAAAGATAACTATTAGCGACGAAATATGAAATTGGTTGCCAATAGTTTCGCGGACTTTCTAATCCTCGCACAAGATGGCGGGAAGCAAATTGGCGACGAACTTAGTGATGACATAATTCGTCATACAATATTTTTGCTAACGAAAATAAAAAAAGCATCGCCCAAGTTGTTTCGCAATGTAATTATATGTCGCCGTGGATACTTTTAAGAGACGAAAATAATACAAAAACGTAGCCAAAAATATTTAGCAACGCAAATGTACAGTGCCATAAAATGTTTTTGGCGACGAAAATATATAAAACGATGCCAACGAAGTTTAGCTACGCAACAAAAGGCCTGTCGTAACACCTTTTTGGTGACGAAATTATAAAAAACGATGCAAAATCCATCTGGCTACACAACAAATTGTGTGTTGGGAAACGTTTTTGGCG